TAAATCAGCATGTACATACTCCAGAATTGAAGTAGTCTTATGCCTTCCAGTATTAAAATAAAGTCTATGTTGTTTACCAAGAGTGCAGTGTTCACAAAATGGAATTTTTGAAATATTATCTTTTCCAAAGACACTTTTTTTATTCAGAATATGCAGACCTCTTTCACTTACATGAGCTAATCTGTTGTGCCATTTTAAAGTGGCATCAACTTCAGCAGTTGAGGATTCAGCAATGTGACTTGAAATAACTTCAGCTCTAGTGACATATATTCCATTGCTTTTGGCACCCTTGAAAATTACAAGCGAGCCTTTAATTATTTTTAACAATCCATTACCTAGTTTGGCTTGCAGGCCAATGTCATCTAGATTTTCCATTGAAATTAAATTTCTGTTTAAGTCAGGGAAATATCTTACTCTTTCTAGAGTAAAGATATATCCATTTTCAAATTTCAAAGTCACACTACCAATTCCTAAAACTCTACATGATGTATTATTACCCATTACCACCTCACCACCATTTATTTCGTTAAAGTCTTCTAACCATGACCTTTTAGAGGTCATATGAAAGATGCAGCCAGAATCAAGTATCCACTCTTGACTCGGGTCATTACTACCAGAAAAATTAACAGTATTCAGGTCAGATATGGGTTTTGTAACAACATAGACATCCACAGTTTTATCTCCTTGGGGCTTTACTACATTACCCTCATCCACTCTCTTTTCTCTCTGTTCATTCTTTTTCTTGTAGCAGTCTTTAATAAAATGACCAGTTTTTCCACATCCATAACACTTTCTATTTCCAGTCCTAGACCTTGACCTAGGTCTTCCTTTCCATTTCTTCTTGTTATTGTTACTCCCTTGATTATATTGATTTTCATGACTACCACCTTGCCTGGTAAGTGATCTACCTCTAACAAATAAATTTTCTGGTTCCCTTCCATGCCTTTCAGATTTAAGTTCTAATTCTTTACTTCTTAAAGAATTAATAACAACTTCAGGGGTTAACTCATCCCTACCATACTTAATAGCAGTTTTAACATCTTTATAGGTTTCAGGTAATGAGTTTAGAAGAATAACAACTTTGTATTTTTCAGAAACTTTATCACCCGCATTAGTTATATCTTGAACCAGTTTATTAAAGATGTCAAGATTGTCTTCTAAATCTTTGGAAGGGTCTATTTTAAAACTGAAAAAACTTTCCAAAAGGAATATTTTATTTGGTAAAGATTTTGTTAAATACAGTTCTTCAAATTTATCCCATAAAACTTTAGCCTTATCAAGTTTTTCAACCTTTCTTAACACTTGGTCAGATAAATGCAGTATGATAGAGGTATAGGCAAGTTCATCAGATTCTGTTTTTTGTTCTTCAGTCATAGTCTCAGGAAAATCAGCAGTTATAGCTTTTACAACTTTCTGTTGAACAAGAATCCCTCTCATTTTTTGTTGCCAAATGGGGAAATCCCCTTTTCCATTAAAAACCCCAAGTTCAAACTTAGTAGTTGACATTTGAAGTTCTTAATCAACACAAGAAAAATTATTGGAGGTTCAATGTTCAGCAAGAAAAGTAGATACAGAATAAGAAATTTGACAATACTTAAAGCCAAACAAGTTATTCAGTACCAAGAAGTTTCAAGAATCAAAGGAAAAAGTATAAGTACACAAAGTATTCACAATATCAAGAAGTAGCAGTATGTTCAATGCAATACACTTCAGGCCTTAAATGCCCAAGTTCACCAGGATTCCGTGAGGATCATGTCCTCAGGTCAAGGCTCAACTTGGGGCATCAAGACCAAAAGCAGGAAATGATATTACCAATGTTTCACACAGAACTAGAACACAAATGCAGTTTACAAATTGTGTAACTACAGATGTATACCATATATATACAACACGGACAAAAAATTGATTAAGTGTTATGTTAGGTCAGAACTGCAAACCAAACAATAGTAGTCGAGTCAGGACTACCAATTCACCAAGAATGCCTCGAGTCTGATGTTGGTCACCCGATGATAGTCGTGAAACCCTCAGTTCGCTAATCGGGAGCTGCAAGAACTAACAGAGACAACACGAATTTAACCAATATCAGTTGAGAAAAGAAAACAAAAAATATGGAAATAAACTCAGAGATATAAGATCTGAAATCAATCGAACAGATCTAGGTTCGGTCACATGAGACTCTTAAGATCTGACTGTGACAATAAAATTTTCACAACCAGATCACAATCGAACCAAGTCAACACGCCACAGCTGGCTCTGATACCACTATTATTCCAAGAACTCAAAGAATACACAAAGTATACTTCAAAGAATATCACTGTAAAATTACAGACTCGAAAAATCTATTTACAGAAAGATTTCATCGACTCATGGGCTCAGTAACCATTGTACCCTTCTGTACAAACTAGGAGACCCAAAATATACCCAAACCATACACAGGAAACCGAACGCAGTTGCCTCGACGGACCAGTAGGAAAAAAACCCCCTTATAATAGCAACCCTTATCCCTTTCACAAGAATCACTAAGATTCCCACAGAATAAACTCTGAATCACTAAAGAAATCAGAAAAATCACAAAGAAGACGACTCAGAAAGAGAACCAGAAAGTCGGCCTTTCTAGAGAGTTCAGGAGGCAGAAAGAGAGTGATCGAAATTCCCTAGGGCAAACCATCAGCCTTTTATTTATATAAAATATCATCACCGTTGATATTACTTAGGAGATCCAATGGTCCGGAGCAACAAACGTGGCCAAACGTTGGGCTCGGGTTTTGGGCCTCTTGTTTGAGTTATCGGGCAATGGGTTGTAGTATCTGTAATGGGCTTAGCCCAATTTATCATCATAGCCCAATGTTGAGTTATAATTCCAAAAATTGGCATCACAACTCTAACAATGTTGATGGTGGTTACGTGATGGAGAGCTACGGTGGGTGTAGTAGGGGTGCGTTTATGGTGCTGTGTGCGGAGTGGTGTGATGTAGTGATTGGGTGGTGTGGTGGTGCAGTCATGTGTGCTGTAGGTGTATGTTGTGTGTAGTGGCTCTGGCGGCATGGTGATGGCTCTGGCGGTGTGCAGTGGTATTTATCGATTGTCAGGAGATGGCGGGGATGGCTCTAGCAGTGGTGGGGTTTGATGGCGATGCTGTCTGCGGTGCGATGGTGAGGCGATGCACAAGTGGTGGTGGATGGGCACAAATTGTTTGGTTGATTGTGCTAGTTATTTGAAATTGTGACCAATATATTAGATATTTTGTGACCAATAACTTGTAACTAATAAATAATATGTGATATAAAAATTTGGATCGTGACTTATAAAATTTGTGATTTTTGATCGACGAATAAATTGTGACCTATAAATTTTTTGATTTGTGAACAACGAATAAATTGTTACTTATAAAATTTTGATTTGTACCCCGATTAATTTTAATTCATAATCGAGAAATAATTCGTAATCAATTAATTCAATAATTTGCAATCAAATAATATAGAACTGTGAATTTAATATATTTAATTGTAAAATAAAATTTTAGTCAATTATTTCATATATAAAATTTAATTAATATCTAATTTTTGTAGTCTAAAACCTATTTTCTTAAATCTTAATTTTGAACTTTTACATACTATTGATACAGCTAGATTTTCGGTTAAACTCCAAACTTTTTATTGTTAAGTTGCGTCGGGTCACTGCAACCGAAAGTAAGAAACAAAGGTATAGGCCAATGATTTGGGTTTGAGTGATGCACATATCAAATTTGTTTTGAGTTGAATGAGCATGATACTAAATGAATACGACAAGGATATATAGACACGTGATTTTTTGAAAAAAAGAATAATAGGATGTGTTGATGACACGTTAAGTCAGAATGTTATACGAATGAAAAAATAACTGAAAAAATACATTATGCAGTGCCGTAGCTCTAACAAAGGCAAAACTCAAGATCTAATTGCACATTTGGTATACTCGAAAATGAAGTGTTTAAGCTTAGTTGATTGATTGCGTTAAGACACAATCAAGTGAAAAATTCCATTACATAACTCATAGAAAAACAAGTATAAAGCCAAAAGGTTAGATAATGAATTCGAACATTTGTCTAATCTAATGGTACATTAAACTGCCGTCTCTTCTGGCGTGGATAGGCCCATGCAACTGTAATTAGAACTTAGAAGCGTAGTTAAAATTATCGAGATCATGTTGCTATTGATAGAAAAGAATCCCATATAGATGTCTCTTTTTCCTTATCTTATCTGCTAAGAAAAGAAAAGAGACTCTACAGGTATTCATTCAATAATAAAAATAATAATAAAGAGTTTGCCTTGAGTTCTAATGCACGTAGGATTTAAGCCCTCGTTTGGCCCCCATTTTTTGAAAATGAAAATGTGGGGAATAGTATTTTTTTGAAAAATGAGTGGTTGAATAAGAAGGAAAAGTTTTCGATTTACGTATAATATTATTTTATGGAAGATTGTGTGGTTAAAAATAAGAGAGAGAAAAATGGAATATAATGTAATTGAATTTAATGGGGGCCAAACGGGGGCTGAATATCTTACCCGAAAGTGGGTGACTAGGGTTTGGGAATATTTGGTTGGTCTTCAATTGAGTGGATGGTCTACTCATGTAAAGTGTAAACAACCTAACCCCCTTTTTTTATTGCCTTAATAGCAGCACCAACAACTGAATGTAGAATAGGCATGATTTACTTTTATTTGTCAAAAGAGAGGGAAGGTCTAGGAAGATTAGGAAACTTCATGGAAAATACTCGTCGTTCAGATAAGAGAATATGTTTTTGTACCTTCATCTTCCATCAAGGTTACGAATCCGATCTTTCATATTACATTGCCACATGAGGTCAATCGGTGGAGAAGAATGCATTTTTTACAGTAGACTTTTCTATGTTTAAAATGGGCGTTTTAGATGAAAGTTTGGAGACTGAATCCTTATTTTACTATTGACATTATAAAAGGAAGAGTGGCTCTACAGTTCAGTCACAAATAGAAATTAGAAAAAGATAACTTCAGAGACTTGATTTGTAACAACTATATGGTGCATTAAGGGCATGTTTGATATGAAGCACTTGATGGACATTATAAAGTATGACACAGATTTTCACTTCCTTTTTTTTTCTTTCTTTAATCGTGTCAAGTACTTTTCTGCTACTAGTTAGTAATGTGAATCGTTTCAACTCAAGTAGAAGTCACTTTTGTCAGAAGCAGAGAATCTACTAGCTGCAAAAACTGTGGAACTCTCACCATGGAGCAAAAGCAAAGATTTAGATATCTTTAGCATCAACTGGTAGAGAAGTCAGCAGTGGCCCTGTGAAGTGAATTTTGAAGCGAGGAACCAGTATAGAAACTTTTGGCAGTGATCATATGCACTGGACTACAAGAATTATATGTGGACTCATAATCGTGAACCTTCTGATTTGTACGATTTGTTCTGCCATTGATGGAGTCAAAGGTAGTAAAATGCTTCCCTGAGGCAGAAGATTCAACAACTTCACCCTTCTCTTCTCGGTGTGCTGGAATCAGTAGTAGACGATAGTTGATGATCTCTAAGCTCTCTCAATGGCATGTGATACTTGGCCTTGAGCCAACTCAGCTCCTGCCTTTGTCTCATTCTCATAATCTTCTGCCGGAGTAGAAGGATTTTTAGTCCGGGAACCTCTCACATTGGATGACTTCTCCTCCTCAATCCTCGTAGTTCTGTAATCCTTCCTTGATCGGTCAACAGTTTCATAATTATCATTATCAACAGAAGATAATTCAGGACCCTCGTGTTGCGCCCTTATATCAGTATAGTGCGTGCCATTAGACTGGCTTGACGCCATGGGAGCAACTTCTGTAACACATTCCTTGGGTGCCTCGAACTGGTGCGCGATCTCTTCAAACCGGCCATGTACTTCACCACATCCATGCTTCGAACATTGAAGAACTTGAAGGTCTTTGCCCAGCCCATGTGAGGACAAACATTCTACAAGAGAAGCATCTGAAGCACAATTCTGACAGTAACTATTGTTCGCATCATCAAGACTTTCTTCGCCCCTTTTCCACTCTGGTACCAAGGAAGAAATCTCATTCTCGATCATCTCCACTATCTTAGTCACGCCTTGGTCATTGATATCTAACTCGGCAACCATTTCAGCAGCGACGCTAAGAGCCGTGTCAATTTCAATGTCAAATGGAAAATAAATATTTCGGACATGGCCTGCAAAGAGCAGAATACAAGAGTTGAGCTTGGTCTACTAGACACTATACTTCTATAGAATACTGTGGACAAAACATGCAATGAGATGTCACCAAAGAATTAAATGAAAATAAAGCATACCTTCTTTATCTGCAATTCTTATTCTCAAAAAGACGCTATTGTCTTCTCTTCTTCTCCCTTTGATTGTAATGTCAACGTTTTCCAAGTGATCATCATCTTGACTCGTGAACATATCTATTTCATTTGCTTCATATTCAATAGAATGGGTCTCCAAGTCATTCTTTTGTTCATAACCAAGATAATTGGAGTAACCATCAACAAAAGAGCTGTTACTATTATGAACACTCGAGACCGGCTGCCTTAACCAAAGACCAACTTCATCGTAATCTCTGTAATAATCTAATGGCCTCAAATCAGAATCATAATCATCGATTTGGAGGAAAGGATCATTAAGAAGCTCCCTTGCTGATAGCCTGTCAGCCACTGTAGCTAAACATTTCTCAACAAATTGATGCACCTCGGGATCCTTAACTTTATAAAGAGCACCCGGCTTCTTTCCCTTCATAAAAGTAGTTCTGTTACCTCAAAGTTTGGAGAGGGAAGTCTCTAGGAGCACGGTTGGCTAAGCTTACTTTAAAGTAACTTTTGTGCCAAAGTTTTTAAAAATTTACATTTTTCAAAAACTTTAGTACCAAATGTTACTCTCTCATTTTTGGCCAATAAGTAAATGAACTATTTTTAAAGCTTAACCAAATATGCTGCAATTGATTACATAAGTTGTTCAGAGTTCTTACAGAGATCACTTTCTTATAAATCTGAGCAGGGCGAGTGCATTCACTATATGGATATTCAAATGTCACCATTTCCAAAACGCACATACCAAATGAATAAATATCAACTAATTCATTGTAGTCCTCCGCATATACCTCTGGAGCCATGAACTCCGGTGTTCCTGAGAGATACTAATAAATCAAGACTAATGAAACGTCTAATTTGAAACACTGAGGTTCTCCTTGACTCCCTCATTCTTATCAATAGTAATCAAAGCTAGAGCAAAATACACATCATCATGCTCCTATTTCATATGAATTAGAACTTGACAACTATCGGATAAGAGTCGAGGAAATTTGGGATGTTCCAGACCTTACCTACACAACGAACAGGGTGGGATTTCCTTAGAATCGTGGCAAGGCCAAGGTCACCAATCTTGACTTCTCCTTGGTTCCCATTAATAAAAATGTTGTCACACTTGAGATCTCTATGAATAATAGGAGGGTCATGGTTGTGGAGACAAAGAAGACCCTGCAAAATCTGTCTACACCAATGCTTTACTGCTCTAATATTAACCCTCTTATGTTTCAGCCTATACCTAAAAAACGAAAATATCGAATTAGAACATGAAAATTTGGAAATACCCTGTTTATAGAATCTCAAAAGTAGAATATTTAAGCTTGTAGATACTCATTAGTAATTTTGAACCACCTTGTCTAAATGTTTAAACTTTTAGATTGCATGGTTCAATATTGCATCATTGCAAAATCTACTAAGATTTTGGGAACAAGTCTCATTGCTTCCGGTTTAAGAAATTTTACGAAATTTGTGCACATGACAGACCTTTGATAAAAAAATAGATTAGGCATGCGAGTGGAGGAGTGACAAAATTTAAATGATTATACTTTTAGACGAGGTGATTCAACAACATACTGTCTCAGTGTACCAGAGGTGAACATCTCTGTCACGAAATTGATGTTTCTATTGGCAGTATCAACCCAAGAAGTGTAGAACTTCATAATATTTCTGTGTTTCAAAGTTTTGAGCAGATGAATTTCACAATACAACCTCTCAAGATCTTCAGGACTCTGCAGAAAATCATAAAGCTTCACCTGGTTCCAGGCTACCTCAATTCCTTCATACTCATCAAAAGCTCTATAGCTGCAGCAAAAAATTAAAAAAAAAAAAAAAGAAAAAAAGAAAAAGAAAAAATTACAATGCTAAAACTATCAAATTCTGCTGAAAGGAAGTGCAGAAAATAGCCGCTTACACTGTTTTAAAAGCCCCTTTACCAAGAATTTCATTGTACTGCAATTGGAAGAAGCAAAGAAACAACCTTAAATTTATCAAATTAAGGATAACAATCAGTGGCAATGAAAAATCAAATAACAAATATACCCTCGCATATCTTCCAGTAGGGTCAATTTCACCAAACTCAGAATTATCTGAATCAAGATATGATTCAAGCCCAATGACACCATTCATCCCTTTTAGCTATTTTATCAAACAGTTCTTGGCCTACAATTCCTTGGTTTTAGATAGAGAGGAAGGATTCAATCAGTTTGTGATCATTACAAGAAAACCACTATACTGAGTTATATTATAAAATAATTTATATAATTTATATAGTGTTTTTGTTCTTAACGAGGTAGAGCCCTCGGGGAGTCCATTAAAAGGACAAAGTTTCCTAGCAAATCAAGATTTTTGGAAGGCTATTATACTACTATCAATCATGTTATAATGTTATAAGTACCGAAAATTTTAATTCAAAATTTTGACGGACAACAAATATTCTGGAATCATTGAAAGATGGAAAAAAACAGGTGAATCAGGTTCCAACGCTTCAATATCAGTATGAATTCGATAAGAAATTCCCTATACTCGAGTCCTTTTCCATACAACAGGCAAATCCAGACAAAATACCTCTCTTTCTTGATATTGTACTTCACCTTTTTATCTCATTAACCCACCCGCCCCACCCCCCGCAGGCCGCACTCCACGTCAACCCAAGTGTATGTAGATCGTGCAAACAAGGGACCAGCCAAGTATAATATAAATTTATCTTTCTTTGTGTGGCATTGGCAGTTTCACTAGTGGGTGTTAAGATTTTAGTACAATTTGTGGTACTTGATAGTTGATTCTTTACTAGTCAAGATGAACATTTTGCATCACGAAATTTTTTTATGATATCTGTCTGATTGGATAATGGTGGATCTAGGTTGGCACTTATCTTGTGGTCCCTTGCATGGCAAACCATACTAGTTGCCGGAGATTTTAGATATATTTTTGGTCAGCACGAACTTGTTTTGAATTATTCGAAGTATTGTCAAGTCTAACACGATTTAAATGAGTTTTACACTTTACTTTCTTCCTTTTACAAAGCAAACAAGTCAGTCTAAGTTCGAATGTATACTCTCTATAACGTGCTATTAGCTTATATGCTTGGTTTGATTTAGAGCCTGCGAGCAAATTTTTGTTTTGCGTTTCTTTTAAATGCTTTTTCATTTTTATACTTTTTTTTCTCGATTATTGCACCTTGCATATCACTAAAAAAGCAAAGAAAAGATTAATATTCTCACACGTGGCTGATTTTTAATCAAATTAGAAGCTTCTAAACCTTAATCTAGAAAAATATCAAGCAGAAATGAACCGTGCCTTCAGCTGGTCAACTATAAGATGAAGATGTGCAAATCAGATTTATTAGATATTTAATAGTCCCACCGAACCCTAAAGATTTGCTTTAATAATGTCATGAAAAGTGCCATGGCTGACCATTTCTTTAAACATATAATTATATCATAATTGCGTAATTTATCTTAAATGAATTTGGAAAATAGTCCGTGAAAAATTGAATTAATCACTCAAAAGCAAAAATTAAGATCTAGTTAAATACAGGCTCTCCTTTCGTGCAAGATTTAGAATGTGTTCGATAGTGATTATGAGAGTTGATTTTTTAACCATTGGAGAGAAAAGTGGATCCCACCTACGATTGAATAAGTCAAAATGCTGATTGAAATCGTGAAAATAACAATAAAAAATTAATTTTTTGGGATGAAAAATTGCTATCAAACGAGAGCTTAGATTTCATTTTACCTCTTTGTACTTTGTGCAGGAGTTGGTGATCAAAATACAATATTAAAATAATAATAATAATAATATGAAATGTCCCATAATAAAATTGTTTCGCGCGAGTAGTCGCTAACAATTAAAAAAGGGATCAAACGATTGTGTAAGAAACAGACCTCTTGAGACAAAGTCCCCAAAAATGGTGTTTTATTGACGATGATTTACAATTGAAAATAAACAGAATGCCTCGAAGGGACGCAAGCACACGAGTACTAAAAGAAGTGTTTAAATTTAAGCTAAGAAATTAAAATTACATATTCTCTGTTTGAGAGTGTTTGATTCCGGCCTCTTTTCTATGTTTTCTCTTCCTTTTTATATTCCCTCGTGACAAACCGCTTGGAAACTGCTTAATTGCTTTATAACTACCCACTTTCTTTATGGTGGCTAACTTGTAGTGGAACTGCCGTCTCTAAGTTCTGCCATTACTCTTTGTCGTTCAACCGCCTTCAACTGGACTCCTTGAATCATGGAATGTGATAAGATCACTCAATAACTGCTTCAATAAATGATATTCTCGATAACCATAATATTTTATGCTTGCTAAGATCCTAGGCGATTTGAAAGTTTGGACGAGAACGGGGTCATCGCTTTGGGCGACTGAGGCACTCCATTCACTCAGATTTTGGGCGTCTTGCAAGCTTGGGTGATGATGTTACTGTGTTCGTGGGCTTCCACTGCATTCATCAATAATCTTGTTTGGACCTTTATCTTGAACTCCCCAATTGGGTTTCACTCTTTGGGCTATTTGATTTGGGCTGCACTTTTAGTGTGTCAACAATTACCCCCAATATGGCAGAATTAATACCAATTATTAATCTTTACCATATTCACTTTGTATTTTCCAACAACATTTGAAATTTCCAAGAATTTCAATCATTATTTCCTTTTATAGCTTGAAAAGGTGCAACGTTACAAACCCTTATAAACCCAAAAGACACGCCATTTCATCGCACCACTAAACCACGTCTCTATATTTCGCGCTTCCTCCTCACTATTTAACTGTTCATCTTCTTCCTTCTCTGCTACGTTTCTCAAGCAGATCTGAACAAAACTGTACTTTGCACCCAATGGCGACTTCACAAACTCAATCTAATGATTCTTTTAGTTTCGAAGATTTCCAGAAAATCCTTACTAGGCCTTATGTAAATCCAAACTTTTTTGCACAAGCCAATGCTGACCTCAATGAATTCTATCTGGGTCCATCATTCAATAATGCCGAAGCCGTTGGACAAGTGGCGGTGGGCCAGCTGTTCCCTTGCACTCAAGACCCTCCGTTCCTGAACTCTCTACCATTGAGGCCGATTCGCGAAAAAAGTATTCGCACTTGGCCCAAAGCTGATGTTATTTTTCGTAGATGGCATGCACGTCTTGTGAATTATGGCCCTTCCAAGGTGATTTTTGATCGTGCTAGGATTTCAGACTTATTAGAAATCGCTCTTCAACCCCCAATTTTCGACCCAGTGCTTTTTCCGATTGCTTTGAGTTTTTGGTCTTCTAAATATAATACCTTCGTTTTCCCTCTTGGTCCAATGTCTATTACTTTAAGGGACATTGGAACCCTAGTAAATCTTCCGCCTTTGGGCGATACCATCTTTCCTGGTATCTTGATTTCCAGTGTTGGCTCGAAATTTGACAAGAAACCTACTGAGTCCTATTCAAGCATGCAAGACTTTTATAATCATTCAAGCATTGAACATTCCCATACTGAGCGTGTGGCCTTTCTTCAATTTTGGCTCTGTAAATATATTCTCTGCGTGCCAAGTATGAAACCTTCTACGAGCTACTTACCCATAGCGCATGATTTGGCGCATGGTAGGCCTTTGAACTTATATTCCTTCTTTTTAGCTGTACTTTATAGAGGCATGACTTCCCTTCAATCTCAACTGAAGAATGGTGCATCTCCCACTGGCAGTGGGCCCCTTTGGTTCACTCAACTATGGTTGAGAGCATAATTTCCACCACTTGGTGCTCTATCCATTTCCCTTCGTTTTGCTAGCTACTATGGGCTAGTCATTGACCCATTGAACTTTGTAAATATGTCCAGTAGGGACATTTTTTCATTCTTTTATACCTTAAATTTGATTCCTTCATTCTTTCCTTTTCCTGCTCACTTGACTTCAGATTATGTTCAACCTCCTTCCACCCTGGACAGTGTGAGCGCCTCTCTGCTTGTTTGGGTTCAGTTTTTGATTGGGAGGGAATTGTTCCACGATATTTTAATTGGAACCAATGCCAAAGCTGGGGTTGAAATATATGCTCTCCAATTTTTTGCTCGCTAACTTAGTTTTGGCCAAACTTGGCATGTTCCTCCTTGCTACTCCAAAAATTTGACAGATCGTTTTCACACTATTAATAAGGCAGAAGCACAAGCTGGAGATGCTGACAACATTCTTTTGATGAGCAAATTTTCATTAGCCCCTTTCAATTCTAACTGTGTCGTCCATCCTCTTTTTGAACAGCTCTGGTCATCAGTAAAATGTAGATTGTTTGTAACTGATTCTAATCGTGCCTTCCATTTACTGGATCAGCCAGACACTTCCTCTACTTCTCCTATTTTGGTCACCCCTGTGTCCATTAGGAATCCTTCCTTCCCTGCTCGTGCTAAACATCCTATCCGTCCATCTGCTTATCCACTTGCCAAGGCTACTGCAGCTAAAGGCGCCTTAAGCCGCAAATGGCCAGCTTCAGCATCTCCCATTTTGCGGGATGATGATGATGATGATGATGATGAGGCTCCTCTCATCCTTAGGAGAAAGGTAATTGAATTTTTTTATTCACAAACATACTTTTCTATGTACTAATGGCTTACCTGAATTTCTCAGAAAAGTTTTGCCTCTCCTTCGAAGGCTTTGGTTTTGGCAACTCCTGCTTCATCATCTTCTGCTAAAGTTGCTTCGTCCAAATCAGCTGATGAAGGGACTATGTTTAAAGAGAAACCCTTAGTCCCGGAATCTTCATCACAACCAGTAGAAGGTCCACTTTCTTCCCAGGGTGCCGACCCCCCAAATATCGAACCAGAAGGTAATACATATTTTGATATTTTACCTTTGCTTGTGCTACTGGTTTCTGATTCGTTGCTTCATGAATTATGCAGAGGCTCCTATGGGCCTGTCCGTTGTGGCAGAGTTTTCTCGCCCAGAAAGGAGAAGTCCCCATAAGTGGTGGAGCCAACTGGTGATATGCCTGAACTTCCCAAGATTGCTGATGAGGTAACATTTTGATTCACTTTCATTTTCGCTCCGTTTATTGTAGCGAAAGTCCTCAATGTTGGCATTTTTCTTTGCAGGGTGCTGATGACATTGTGCGTTCCATCCAGAACTTGTTCACTTCCTGGGGATAAGTCAAGACGTCTCGCCCTACTTCAACCAGTCATCCTTCTGCTTTTCGGAGGAAAATATGAAGTCTCTCAAGCAGTCGGTACTTGAGTATGTGTATTTTATGGACATGGATATCGGCCAGGCTAGTGCTACTAAACATAAGGATAAGTTTGAGCTATTGAGTGCGAAATTGGCGCAAGCACTTACACTTCCATCGCTCAATGTTTCTGTTGACTTTAAAGTGATATTGAAGGTTGTCCACTTTGACATCCTGTCATTACTAGCTAAAAACGTTGAATTGAAGGCCAGGAGTACTCAATATCTTCGTGTTGTATCTGAAAGAAAGTCTTTGCTTCTAGAGATTAACAAAGCCGAGGATGAATTGAAAGAAATCTCTTCTGACGTTATGATCGAAGACTCTTTGATGATAAGCTTGGCTGCAGAGATGAAGGAGCTTCA